CACTCTTGTCCAGGCTGGAGTGCAGTGGTGTGATCTCGGCTCACTGCAGTCTCCGCCTCTGAGGTTCAAGTGATTCTCCTGCTTCAGCCTCCCAAGTAGCTGGGATTACAGGCATGTACCACCATGCTAGCTAATTGTTGTATTTTTAGTAGAGACAGGGTTGCACCATGTTGGATGGTCTCGAACTCCTGACCTCAGGTGATTCACTCACCTGGGCTTCCCAAAGCGCTGAGATTACAGGCATGAGCCACCGTGCCCAGCCTGCTTGGATATGTCAAGAGATGGGGAGATCACTACTTACCAGAGCTGAACTAGTATCATCTGAACAGCCAAAATTTCTTCCTTGGAATAAACCAAAACCTTCCATGTATCTGTTCCCCATCATTCATAGCCACTTGCTTCCCCACCTCAATCATCTAGGCTAAATGTGACAGGAGTTTAGTACTTCACATTTTGACACGGACTTCCCCATACTTCACCCCACTTAATCGGCCCCAGCTATTGCAGCTTTGCACATGTGATACGACTTCCAGATGCCCTCCCCATCTTGTTCACTCTCCTCTGGGCCTGCTTCAAGGTGGCTCTGTGGCATCTAGTGTGGCACCCAAACCAGCGTCAGATGCCAAGAGAAGGCTGCAAGCCAAGGGCTCCATAATTCTGTCACCTCCCCTTTCAGGAACGCTACATCAGAGGCACTTTAGCAGAGTGGTTAATAGTGTGGGCCCCGGCCAAGACCAGAACTGCATTTAAGGCTTGGCTCCACTGCTTACTAGCTGTGTGGGCAATTCATTTAACTCCTCTGGGCCTCAACTTCCTCCCTGGAAAATGGGGATAACAACAGCACCTGACTTGTCATGTTGTTGTAGAGCCAACTGCCTGCCATGAAGTATAATAATTTTCAGCTAGATGCAAGGGTCCGAGGGGAGTGGAACGAAGAAGCTTTGGGGCCGGGTGCAGTGGCTCACACCTGTAATTGCAGCACTTTGAGAGGTAGAGGCAGGAGGATCACTTGAGGCCAGGAGTTCGAGATCAGCCTGGGCGGCTGAGGTGGAAAGATCTGGAGCCCCAGGAGTTCGAGGCTGCACCAAGCTGTGACAACACCACTCCACTCCAGCCTGGGCAACAGAGGGAGACCCTGTCTTGAATTAATTAATTAATCAATTCAACTCTGGGGAGGTTTTTCCAGGTATATAGATATCTCTCACTATCCAAACTCTTACTATCTCAAATCAGAAATACATCCATTCAGAGAGAGAGAGATGCTTTTGTACATGGTCTGGATCCCACCTGTCCTAAATATGCCACTCGTGATCATCTACTAAATAAGAATTTCTTGGGGCATGCTGGTGTGGGAGCTGCCTTATCTGAATGTGGCCCACGATGACCTTTGTGTCTTTGGTAGTCCTCCATCCATCCTCTGAGGGTTCAGATTGATTTCATCAGTGGAACCCCAAAGCGCACGTGCGTGCGCACGCACACACACACACACACACACCCTGCAATCCTGCAGTGTTGGCGCTAAATCAAGGTTCTTCTGCCCCAAATCTATACTTCAGGGTACATCTTTAAGTTAAACTACTTGCCTCCGGTGTTTGTGGTGGGATTAAACATCCATCAAGTGTTTGGCAAAGAACAAGTGCTGAGCAAATGTAAGCTTGCCACCCCACCTAGGATGTCAGTTCCCAGGCACAAGGGACCCTGATGGCTATTTATTTTGTACCTCCTCATGGGGCTCAGCAGAAGGCTGTGCCCACAGAAAATTCCTAGGTCCTGCCTGTTGGCCCATTATCAAGTGTAAGATGACATTGTTCACTGAACTACTGACTCTTATCACTTCCTTAGCTGAGGGCTCTATGTACCTGGAACAACATAACCTGTAAAATGCAAGTATGTTACCCAGAAGGGAACATCTATTAAATACATGTTTAAGAGTCATTAGCCAGCAAGGACCTGGCCTGTTGGGATTGAGCCAGGGGAATCTGTTAGAAGACAAAAACGAAGGGAAGGCAAGTCCCAATGGGGGTCCTGGGCACCCCGCCTCCACTGGCTCCGCCCCAGGTGGTGGGAAGGAGGTGTTGCTGATCAGAGGAGACAG